ACCAATATCATTGTTAGACAGATATGTTTTGATAGTACTGAGAGATTTTGTGTAAACAGACACATAAAACAGTCATTGTGCCATATTATCAGAGAAGGATCTACCTGCTTTATACCTTATGAGAAATACAGGGAAAATGGAATTTTATTTTTTAAAGGTGTTCTTTAGAACATGTACACACTGTGCTCACGTAATTGAACATCCAACCTCTCGTCCAATGAGGACAGATAAGAGCTGCTAAATGATAATTAAAGCTAGGACCATCTATGCAAAGACTGGTTATTTATTTCCATTGTCTGTTAGCTGCTACAAGACACTGAGTTTCAGAGGACAGCTCACCAGCTGCACATTTTGTGAGCTGTGCAGAACCTAATGAATTTTGTCTTTTTATTTCTTTGCAAACAGGAATAACACTAAATTGTTGCAATCTTGCTTATACTGCCCATAAGCAAAACCAAATGAAGAGGCAGTGAGAATCAGCCCAGTAAAAATAAAGCATGAACAATCTTCCCCAGTATTAACACCTTCTCAGAGTACAGAAAACTGAATACATTTCATATTGTAGTCATTGCAAGAAGATATACAAATTTTAATAACATCCCATTATTGAGTTACGTTTTTTGTCTGCTCAGTTAAATGTTATTTAATGATTTACCACTTACTCGTGTATTATATTTAATTCTTACTCCATTGACTTTGGTGAATTTTCTAATTTTTCCAGAAAAGAGAACTAGTTCTAAGGAAAAATATTTATTTCCTGTCTAAGGTCCAAGTATCAGCAAGTTAAAAGTAGCAACCAAGTTAAATATAGCAACCACTATTTTATTTTTGTAAGTTATGGATGGGGAGACTCAGGTTATCACATCATACTTGTTTACACCATCAATATTGATTTAACGAAGACTATTTCATGTAACGACTGTATTTCTGTCAAATCATAGCAACCTGCCTGTTGCACTTTATTGGGGCCTTTTATTTTCAATTGTATCCATTGTACATTACTGTTACAGAGCAAAAGATGAAGATTCTGGATCATCAGATTAGGTGATGTGGGTGAATGAAATAAGTCATGTTTGTTCATGTATTGTAGTAGGTTATTCCAGTACTCACTCACCTTCACCTTTCACCCCTTCTCACTCATTCTCAGTGTAAGAAAACAGTGAAACTGAGGACTCCTCGTCTTGGGCACTTACTCTTAGCCCAGAACACTTATTTCCATAGATCAGGCTTTTGCATCTCCTTGTATCTGGCAGTTAAGGCAACAATTTCACTCTGCAGTTGGGACCACATGCACGAGGCCAGTCTCCACAACTCAGCTTTCAAATGCTACCTGTTGTACCAAAGTAACCTGATCAGAGATACTTGGCTTCATCATCAAATTTCACACCCGAGGAAAAAAACTACCATTGAGCCCTGGGGTTACCTACTTGGGTAAAAAAATGATAAGAAACTGTAAATATTCCCGTGCTAACTAATGATAACAATACATCACTTAGTTTTCTCATTGAATAAAAGCTGCTTCTTTCAGTCTCTCTTCTTACAAACTCACTGTCTCACATGAGCATTACCAACAGGCAGCCTGCTTTCCATTGACATGAAACTACTAAATCAATTGACACAAAACAGTTAATTCAGTGAGTAGCTCTTCACTTTGTGATAATGTTTACTTACCTTTGTGTTGGAAATTTAGATAAAATTGTATGCATCATCATTGGTGAGACACACTGGGAACCATCCAGACCTGTGCCCCAACCCAGACCACATGCATGGCACTCCTTCAGGACCTGTATGGCCTTTTGCCATGGACTGTGGGGCTCTCTTACGAGGAACCACGGAGCAAAGTCTGCACTCTCTTGCAAGGAAGAGTTTCTGTCTTAAACACTACTGAAAGAGATACCCCAGAGAGCTGAGGAATCTAAATGCAGAAAGCCTGATAAAAATAACAGAATTGAAGGCAGTGAGAGATTAAAATACCTTGCCCAAAGCCTTTCTGGAAGATGCATCAGAGATGGAAATGGAATCTAGTTCTCACAAGTATCAAATGCAAGACTTAATTTTTTTTCCTCTGAGGTGCTAGAAAGTGTAGAGGATATCCATATCACCAGAAATTTCATAAAGCTTCATCACTCTGATCACAATACCCAAATGCACATTCTAAGAAAACAGTGTCCCTTAAACACCTACTTGGCTTTCATTTAATTCAAGAGAATCTGCACATGCATATATTAGAACCACCCATGAATTGTAACATTTGCATCATTTAAAAGTAGCTATGCTACATTAATATGCCGGCTTTTATCTCTGTTATCCATACAAAGAAAAATAGACACTACAAACCAAAGTCAGCAACAATATTAAAGTATCAGGTATTCATGGCTGGGAATGCACAGTATTGAACACTATATGGAGTATAAACCTCACAATATCCAAAAGGCAAAGGGGGCATGAGAACATGAGAGAGGTTAACACAACTGTGTGGTAGATAAGCTGAACTCACAAGCTCCTGTTCAGTAAGTCCTGCATGTGACAGCCAAGAATCTGGTAGGAAGCAAATATTAACTGGTAATGGAAATGTACACAGCCTCTGCCTATAGAGCTCTAGAACTGTTGCCACAGGAGCTTGGGAGGGAAGACAGTATCAGCTGGTTCTCAAAGAGATATACAAATCCATAGACAACAAGTCCCTAACAGGTATACACTCCAAGGATTCTTAAGAGTCCAGTGAAAAAAAAACAAACCCAAAACTTAAGGCCATCTACTTTTCTTGGCAAACATACACTAAGCTGGATGTGTAGCTAGCATATGTTTAATCTGTCCTCTGGGGTACCTCTATAGACAGATGTTCCTATCTACATGAGATTTTAGCTTTACCTACTGTAGAAGGAGCTCAACCTTCCCTGGGAATCCAGGCTTACATGGTTTTCAAGAAAAAATTCTGGAAGATGACAATGGAAATGGAGCTCCTAAGGCAACAGAGCCTAAAAACGCAATGAAAACATTAGAAAGAATGTTCCCTGGTTCACATGCAAACAAGGCTAAGCTCTGTAGATATATGTTGCCAGTTTTAGTAAATGAAAATTATGTGGTAAAAGACTCTTCCCACTAATTGCAATTACTTTCTACAGTACAGAAATAAACTCACGGGAGAGGCTTTGCATGAGTGGCCCCAATATGATTAGTGTATTGTCACCTGATCTGTCTGTTTACAGGGAGGGGATTTGTACGATGCTGTGTGTGTAGTAATGATTCCATACATGTGTATATTTCCAAAGTAATTCTTAAAAAAATATTGGAGGAGAGTTTAAGAAACTCAAGCACTTCATTTTTGTATATGATTCTGGAATTCACTTTTTTCTACCCCAGAGAAACTACCTCAAGCCTCATTTTAGACTGCTGTCATAATATTTTCAGGCTCGAGACATAAGTTTTCATTAATTTCTATACCAGCAAGATCAAACCCACCTACATTAGAAGACTACTCTGAGCCAAAACTTCAGAGGTTGGCTTTATTTCAAGCCCTAATGAGACGTCTTGAAAAAAAAAAAAAAAAAAAAAAGCCCCCACAAAACTAAAATGCTCAAAATAAAGCTAAAATAATTCAGCTTTGCCTCCTTGGGAGCACTTTTCTGCTTCTTATGGAAAGGCTCACTCTAAGAATCCTTTCTATATATCCTATATATATTCCTTACCCTTTTTCTTTTATGAATATGCTTGTCCTTCAATTCGTGTTCCTCAAGACTGCTGCGTACAAGTTAAGGAGTAAAACTGGGATACATAAAGAGTCTTTAAAGTAACCATTTCCCAACTGTGCTTGTCCACTAAGTCTGTGAAAACACATCAATTCCACTGGTACATTTATTTTTTTTTCACCTAAAGTGAAGTGAAACACTACACTTCTAGAGATCACGGAATAGTTCTCTTCTCTAGAGAGGAGACAGTTCTCTAGGTTTGCCACACAAGCCCAAAAGCAGTAGGAAAACCTGGTGACTATTCCCTTGCTAATGTAGCCTGCCACGCAATTAGCGCTCATCACCATATTGGTTTCATGACAGCTTACACAAAACTTGTCAACAAAATCCCCATATACCACTTACAATCACTAGGCTATCAAATTTTTATTTTTAAAACCTAAAAAATTAAGTAAAACTCAACATAGGGAAAAGACAAATTAAAAGTAAACTTTTAATTACTTTTAATTACATTTATATGAAATTGTACGCTCTTTATTATAGTGTTTACAGTAATATTTAATGTTTTCTGCAAGTTGTTTTTACACAAATGAGGCACCAGTCCAGTAACTTGCAAAGGACAAATCTGGGCTTCCTTGCAGATCACCAACTGAGAAATGAAGCAATGACCTGTTTAAGCCCATCATTCCATCAGGCTATGAATACATTACAGGGCAGCAACTGAGTCAATAGAACACCATCTTTTCCTTTCCAAAATAATAGGTAGTAATTATTCACTCCTACTTATCTTTTTTCTAACTTGAAGTTCACTTATTTCACAGTATCACAGACATTTCTCTATTTTCTTAGAAGTATTCCTCTGACTGGTTTTTTAAAAGCTAATTACACAGTTCTTATTAAACCCAGATACGTTTAACACTGTAATCGAAACTAAATATTGAAAAAAAAAAAAATCTAATTAAAAAATTACTTCCTTTACATGAAGATAGGTATTTCTTCTTTCCTAAAATCTCATATATGATGCTATTCATCAAATGTCATTATACGGCCATATAGTATCTATATTACGTTACCTTAAACATCATAAAAATGCCAAAACATCATTATGCAGTTTTTAAGCACCATAGCAGTGGTCAACAGAAAAACTAAGTCTTCATATAATTTCAAATGTAATTGGTAAATGTAACAGTATCCCAATTTATAATCCACTGATGGAGCTCACGGGAGTTCTTCCCATCAACTTCCATGTGCTTTGGAATATGACATCAAGATAAATATTAGCAAGTGAAACAAAGCGAAATGAAGACTTACCCATGAATTCAATTCCTAAATGGTCTGCTATACCCAAGAAAGCGTGTAAAAGAAAAAAGAGACAGAAATATTAGAAATAGACTAAAATGGTAGCATTCAATACTCATATGGCAGAGCTGCAGAATGCAATGCAGGGTCAGGAGCCCACTCTGTAGATGCTGATCAATAAGAAAAGCAGAACCTTGCCCTTCGAAGAGCAATCCTAAGATGGGAATTTAGGGCACTGAGCTGTCAGAGGAGGGAGGTGTACTTGGGGAGGAAAATTAATGCCTTTCCTCATTATAGTTATATTTGTCTGAAGTGCCTCAAGCTACCTACCCACAGGAATTTCATTTTCTCTTCCTCCTGAAACTTCCCTCAACATGCTATTATCATTAGTTGGACAAGATTCTTGCTTTCATTTTCTCTGGGAGAGATCAAAATCTAAAGAGATAAGTGTAAGACCTTTACTGAGTTTCGCAGCTCTCATTACAGCACAACAGCCACACTTGCACTCGGTGCAACTGCACAACTGCTATCTGTTGTGTAACAGACAATCTGACTTCAGGAGATACTCATGTTCCTGACTCAACCACCTCAGTGATATGATACAGTGATTTCAAGACACTTAAAACTGAAGAAAAAAAAATTTAAAAAATGACAGTTTTTAGAAAGTCTTCTGAATTTGGAGATTGAAATAATTTCAGGACCCTTTTTTTTTCACATGATAAATTAGGATATAATATGTCTCTAACAGATTAATGTTTCAGCATAAAGTAGATTTAAACTTACATAATACTCAATGTAATAAGAAGCATGTTGATCTGATTAAAGAATAACAAACTCAGGACAACATAAGTAACTGACTTTTCAGAACTATGTGTAAGGCGTAGCATGCATTATCTCCCTTTAAAATATAACAAAAGCAAATTATCTTGCGTTTGCTTTCCTTTCAATTTATAGTCACATTTTCTTAATACAGAAAAAAGTAATATGTGATTGTGCCAATGCTTCCAAGAGCAGTATGTGTGGAGAGGAAAGCAGTAGGGTTACAAGAAAGATTGTGCAAGACTAACATGTTGGCTGTTGCTGGGAAGTACTACTGGGATTTGTGTGAAACACTTGGTCCCATTAACTTATATACTGCATTAAAGTACACTTTCAAAAATCCACCACAAAACTATACAGCAAAGGCAAATGAAGATTTACCAACATAAACCAACAGTAATTTTAAATACTTTATCACATGTTTTGTTAGCCCTGGCAGCTGTGACAAATAAGTGAAATATTTGCGTTTCTGTTGAAAATGCTGGGAATTATTTGCCTTTGGAAACCTTTCAATCCTTCTAGGAGAAGGCATCAAGCATCAGCTTGCTCAGTTCACTTAGCATTCAAATCAACACCATAGCTGCTAAACTCCATATCTGTCTTCATGTAGAAAATGCAATATGCATCCCAAAAGAAAAGAACATAAGATGATGCTATGTAGTATAAATACCTTATTAATATGGTGTTAGGACATGCACATTACGCAAGTCTAGTAAACACCCAAATGATTCTTTTAGGTATTAAATATATAACTCAAAATCACACATGTAATTAATGTAATTACATATGTAATGTAATCTTCTAATCTGTTTTCTTGCTTCACATACAAGCATCACATACAAACATACCTGGTACATTTGACACAAGGAGGTAATTTCTATAAAAGCATGAGACCAGAAACACCAGAAGTGCATTCAGCATACTATATTCACAGAGATTTGTAACTGGGGTTTTTTCCTCTAATTTTTTTATACTTGTGAAATCAGCAAATACTCTCTGCATGCAGTTCACATCGTGCATCCTTCTGTAAACTGGATTAAGATGTAATCCACAACTGCTTACTTTATAAACGGTAGCAGAGATCAAAGCACCGTAATCTGGTCTCCAAGAAGCTAAGGATATTCACACATGAAGCAAGATCATACAGTATCATCTTTTAAAGTCTATGTACAGTAGCTGAAAAAACAATCCTCCTTTCCTAACTGGGCTACACATGTTGTCTACATATTTTGCATTCGCAACCTGCTATTTCCTCACTGAGTTCACTAACATAGTTAAAAGCCACTTCCTCAAAAAGTGCAAACAAAATACACCTTTCCCTTAAAAAGATGGGGGAAAAGCAACTTTGAGTGGTTTACACAGAAGTTAGAGTCTCACATATCTATATTCTTCCTGGGAAATGTGTTCAGCTGGAGAGGTTTGAAATGCCAGGTTATTTATTTTTAAAGTCTCGTGCCTGGAGAGCAACTTCAGCTTCCCAGATATGATGAACGGATGTCTAATGGGATAGACTTGTAGAGTAAAATATCCAAGATGCCAATGATACAGCTCATCTCTGAGCAGCAATCTGGGAATAGAAAAAAAAAACAAAATTCTAATTCTTGTGGATATATTGCACACTAGCACTGGCAAGGCCTCTCACCCCACTGCCATGGCACATGTACCACGGGAACAGTGTCCACACTCACCTTCCTGGCTGGGGAAGGGACGCTGCTCCAGAGCCAGCAGTAGCAACAAGCCGTGGCTGGGAGCCAGGCTGACCTGCTGGCTGCACAGTGGGACATGCCACAGGTGACAGCAGATACCGAAGTTATCAAAACCCCAACTCAGACTTGTTTTCCTTAATACAATTATGGCTCCTGCAGCAATGGCATTGACCAAAACGTTCAGCATATTGAATCGAGGACACAAGGCAAGCCATTAACTGTTCCTGTTGTTTGGCTCTTAATGTTTTTATCATTCTAAGATGTTTACTCCACTAGCTACATGAAGAAAACAAATGAAACCAACAATATATAATAAAAAATAAACCCCAAACCACATCATTGCATATGAAAATGAGAGAAAATGATTGCTTCCAACCCCAAAGGCCTTATCTGAGCTGTCCCCTGCCAAAAACCACTGACAAGACCCACAGACATCTTTCCAGAGGGTAGAAAGTGACTGCTGGCCTTTTTGGAGTTTGCCTCAGTACAGCAGCCTGCCACTTCCAGCAAAGGAGTTACTTAACTCTCTTAGAGGTAAAAGGGGTTGGAAACCTTCCTGCTGGAAAACGTAGCAACAAGAGAAGCCTCCAGGGCTGCTGTTTCCTCCCCCGACCCAGGGTGTGCTGACAGCAAGGAAAGGATGGATGGGGAGAAGAATTATGTGAAACAGATCATGGCCACCAGCAGGCTGCTCCTTGGTGACCAAGCACCAGTCCAGCAGTTACTCTCACTTGCACCATTACTGTGAAAATAAATGCTTTTGGAAGCTCCAGTTCTAGAGATGGTTTTCTCTCCTCTTAACAACATAAGAAACTGTGAGAGGGTCAGACTGAGAGAAAGGCATGACACAGAGGAGTCAATGGAGGGAAGGGAGCTGTGGTGGTGACCCCAAGACTGAACCAAACACAAAAAATGTAGAGTATCAATTCCTGTGCCACAGTGTAAAAAAGGACTGTCTCATTGCTACAGAGTTGCACTATACTAATGATACAAAGCCTGCAGAGCACTTCCCTGGTCACAGCGAGCGTGGTGCCAAGCAATTCACCATCAAGCAATGCATTTTCTTTAAGGACTGACTTCAACAAAAACGTATATGAAAGCTATTAATGTGCCAAAGTGTGGGCACTGCTCCACAAGATGGGGTCATTAACCAAATATTGTGACTGCATTTTATTTTTGTTATTGTGATTTCTTCTGTCTTTCTGGTATTGTTATGTTCTCAGGAACTAATATATTACTCAGACGAGAAGATTATTCACATTTGTATTTTATTTTATGAGTATTTCTGTATTTTGTTGTTGATGTGGGAAGAATACTGTGCCTTATGGTCCTTGCACTCTGATTTCTTTGCTAGTATTAAAGCCCCTTTAGTTTACACTTTATGAATACATACACACCTGGGAATACTTGATAACAAGAGAAGATGAATTCACACTCACTAATGGATTAATTTATTAGTGGTTCACACAGAACATGCAGCTTTATGTTTGGATTGTGGTTTCCTGGGGCTTTTTTCTTAGTCATATTAACATGGAGATTTTTTCCCCAGTTAAAAACAGCTTTTGTTATTCCAGGTACATTCTAAGCTACACTATTAATAGAAATAGAAAGTCAACATGTAAATCTCACCAATTTATAGAAGAAAAATCTCAGACATGAAAATACTCCTTGTAGACCACCACAGACACTTGAATCTGGTCTAAGGATAGGTTCATTTTGGCATTAAGGAGACAGCTCTCGGAAATCAGTGCAGCGGCAAAGTATTTCACTCCGCAAACGAAATTCATCTGTTCCAATAAATGCATAGGATTTGTTAAACTGTCTTTGGTAGATTATTGTCTTGAACAGAAAATGCTGCAAGCTACTTTTGGACAGCTCAAGTACTATTGAACAGGTTATCTGGCTGGAAGGAACAGGACAACAGTTTAACTCTTAAGTATTAGACAGATCCAACTTGGTCTGAAACAAAGAAAAATCCTCCAATTCAAAAGGCAGGCAGAGTAGGATACTACACAAACATGCAAACAGCTGCTGTCTTATCCATTATGTTTTATGAGACACATGTGACAGCCCACAGTTATCAGCCTGTGTATTTAATGAAGCTAAAACTGTTACTGATTACGTGTGTATATTTATATCAGAAAGCATATTTTTTATAATGCACAACATACTATTCTTGCAGTCTTATTTTGCATGTGAGCACACAGAGCCATGATACAAGGGATTTCTCTGTTCAGTAGGAAGGGTGCATTGCTCCTGTTTTCAGACAACCATTGGAAGTTATCAGACTTAGCAAACTGGCCAAATTCTCTCAGAGGCTGGTTTTGTGGTTGTTTTTTTTTTGTTTTGGTTTTTTTTTTGGTTGTGTTTTGTTGTGTTTTTTTTTTTCAGTTTCAGAAAGAAAAAGTACCAGCATGTATAAATGTATTTTACAAAACTCAGTTTTTAGAAAGCATAAAATTTGATTTTGTTGCTTGCTTTATAGAGATCATGGTGCTTTCTTTTGTAATTAAT